CGGGGCCGGCGGCGGCGGGAGGCGCCCGCCAGCCTGGCCGAGACCCTGGACTGTGTCCAAGACCCCGCCCCCCGCCTAACACCCCATTCTCTCCCCCCAACTCAGGGACCACCGGAGGCTGCAGGGGTCGGCAGAACAGATGCTGGCCTGGGGGGAGGGTCTGGAGGTGCGGTAAGATGCAGGAGTGGGGGCCTCTCTGGTGCAGTGTGGAGGGCCGTGTGGAGGGGAGGCCTAGGATCCCCGCGAGAGAGAGTCCAGTCTGGAGGGTACGGGGCCTGGGAGTGGGGGAGGGAGTGAGGAAGAAAGGGCAGAGCCTGCTAGCCTGCTGGACTGGGAGGCTGAGAATGGGAGTAAGGAGGGGGAGAAGACTCCCGACCCACCAGGCTCATCCCCAGCCCCTGGGGGGCGGAGGGGGCGAGTCTGAGTCTGCAGGATTAGGGTTGGAGCATCTCTCCTTGGACAGTGGGCAGCACTCCCCCGCGGCTCCCTGCCCGTAGCTCCGCCGGTAGCTCCATCAGCTCCGGCCGGCAGCTCCCAGCTCCCAGGCAGGGTGGAGGGGCATGGGAGGCGGCTCCAGGCCCACCCCGTGAGGCTCCCCTCAGGACCCGCCAGACTCTGGGGAACTGAGCTGGTCCACCCAAGGCTGTGCCAGGGCTGGGATGGGCAGGGAGGAGCCAATGGAGACCAGAGTGGGCAGGAGACCCCACCTGGGGTTCCCTGGCAAGACAGTGGGCCTCAGTCCCCTCGTCGCTACAGAGGGCCCCTGGGGCTTCAACTTTGGACGGTGAGGGCTGGGGGGCATGACCAGGGACACCCACAGCCCTAGCACCACGGGACCATGGACCTGTACCACACATGTACCATGCACAGTACACATGTGACATATCACACGTGTACCACACAAACGGTGTGGCTCACCCACACAGAAGGCAGAGGAGGCTGAAGTGCAGTCAGTGGACTCTATTTGGAGGAGGGGGCTTTTCTGCTGGACAGAGATGGGCTTGATGGGATGGGGACAGGACGAGGACCCGCAGCGGGGTACATGAGACCCTGATCACCCCAGGGTTACTTCCTTCATGTCTGCAGGCAGGCAGGCCAGTTCAGTGGATAGAGCCCATGTCCTGGATGGGCAGCCCCCAGCCATGACGAGTCACCTTCAAGGGCCAGCTTCTCCAGGTAACGCTCAGTGAGTCACTTGGGGCTGGTCAGCGGGCACTGGGAAGGTGGCCAGAGCCACATCTGGGCGGGCGAGCCCAGCAGCAGCAGCAGCAGCAGATGGGCCCGGGCAGGCGGGCCGTGGCCAGAGCCTTCCTGCGGCCACTGCCCAGCCGCTTGGCCTCACAGGCGTCCCTCTCGTCTCGTAGCCGAGTGTTCAGCTCCCTGGGGAAGGGGAGTCCAAAGGCTCTGAGAGGCCTCAAGGGGCAGCATTCCTGGGCGGGGAAGGTGGGGGCTCTGGCTCTCCTTCAGACCAGAAGAGAGGTATCTGTCTGGGGCTGCAGCATGAGGGATGGCGGGCAGACACTTGCTCGAAGTGGGATTGGGCAGTGGTCAGGAATGGCTGGAAGCTAGGAGTTCCCGAGCTGAGATGCGCTGAGCCCCTTCCCGCCTGGCCTGAGCCCGACCGCACCTGAGGAGCTGCAGTTGTCTCAGGAGGCTGAGCTTCTCTTTCTGCATGTTCCTTGAGACCGCGACCATGTCTCTGCAGGAGGAGGGGGGAGGTGAGAGGTAGGTGGTGACCTGGATGCAGGGAGGCTCCTTGGGGCGCTCCACGACCCCCTAGAGGACCCTACCCGACCCTACACTGGAGGCGGGGCTGAGACGTGGAATGGGAACGGAAGCGGCCCACACCTGAGCCCCAAGGGCGTCCCGGCCCCGCCACGCCCGCCGGCTCCACCCCCTCCCCGGGACCCGCCCCTGAGAGCCCGCCCCAGCCCCGCCCCCCAGGCACCGTTGGGTTTGCTCCTGGCGACCCCGCGCCTCGCCTTCCAGTCTGCGGAGCTGCTCCTGCGCCCCCTCCAACTGCGTGCGCAGCGCCTCGTTGGCCCGCCACAGCTGGGCGTTCTGCGCCTGCGCCTCCAGCTGCTCGGTAGCCCGGGCCTGCAGCTGCTGTTCCAACTGGGGGGATGTGGGGGGAATCGAGGCTGGAGGGGACCTCCCCTCTTCCCCGCGGTGCTGCCTTTGCCTCTGACCCCCAATAAATCCGGGGCTGGGAACACTGAGGCCCAGGGGACCTCAAGGCTAGAGCGAGTGCATGCGTGACGGGGGCGTGTGCTGGGGCGGGCCGGCGGCCGCTCACCTCCCGCTGCCTCAGGCCCGCGCGTTCCAGTTCCTGCTCGCGGCTCTGCAGCTCCAGCTCCAGGCGGCCTCTCTGCTCCTCCCGGGGGAGCTCCTGGGACGCGCGTGGGGCACCTGAGCCTCCGCTGACTGCGGAGGGGCAGGGGCCGGGGGTGGGGCCGGGGTGGGACCCATTCAGAGAAGGCGGAGCCAGGGAGACACGCGCGTCTGCGATTGGGCCGCGCGCGGGGGCGGGGCCGCGGGCCCACCTGACTCCGCAGGCGCTGGCTCTGCGCGCGAAGCAGTTGCTCCATCTCCTCGTACAGAGAACGCACCTCTCTCTCGTGCTCGCTCTCCCGCCTTAGGGAGACACAGGCGGGGGTGGGGGGAAATGGGGAGGGGGACAGCTGCTTAGAACCTGCCAGCACTGCAGCCCCCAGCCCCCGCTCCACCGTCTCCCGGGGCGCTGCCACCCGGCTCCCAGGCCCCGCCCCAGTCCCTCGCCCTCACCGCCGCAGCGCCTGCTCCAGGCCGTCCCGCTCTCGGGCCGCCTCCTCCAGGCAGGCCGACGCGCGCATCAGAACGTCCTCGAAGGAGCCCAGCAGCTCGGGTCGCTCGTGCTGCAGCCGGGTCCAGAACGTCCGTACCGCCCACTGCCTGCAGGGAGGGGACAGGGGCTAAAGCTGAAGCGGGGGCTCCCCACGCCACCCCGAAGGGTAAGATGTACCCCTGCAGCTCTGGACAAGCCATGCGCCTTTGCCGCATGCAGGGCATCCTTCTCGTGGTGCTTTCGCTGAGCCTGGAATCTGTGCGTGTGTGGGGCAGCGAGGTGTCGCGGGTACGCGGGGCTGAGCCCGTGTGTACGTGGCTGTGTGCCAGGCACCCTCCCTCCTCCCCGCAGCCCTGGCTGCTGCCTCGTGAAATGCAAATTCTGCGGGAAATCACGCCTGGCTCCTCCCAGGTAGTTGCAGCTGAAAGAGAACCACTGGGCCAGAGCCGGCCTAGGGACCCTGGGGGCGAACAGACACACGGGCGACGTGGACAGGCAGCATGCAGAGGGAGAGAGAGAAGACGAGGGAACTGGGAGCGGGACCAGCACCAACTCACTCGCCCAGGACCGGGGCCACCCCCAGCTGCTCCAGCACAGTGCAGAATCTCTCCTCCTCCTCCTCCTCCAGGCAGCCCCCGGTGCCTTGCACATCCGACCAGCCCGACTCAAAGGTTTCCTCGGGAGGTGGGGAGGGCTGTGTGCCCTGAGCCGACTCCACCCCCGCAAACTTCCCTGCGGGCATGGGAGGGAGAGATTACCAGGCCTGTCCATTACCACTCCACTCACCCGCCTGCCCCCAACACATATCCTGCCCTTTCTCTGAGCCCAGTTTCCTGTTTTTCTTCCTTATTCTGGTCCGATTCTTGGCCTGGGAATGGGAGGTGACAGCCAGGCTCGGGCCAGAATGAGGCACGCCTGGCTCCCAGCCCCGCCTGGGTTTGGCAGAGGAGAGCAGGTGGGGAAGCAGGAGGGTCAGCTCCCCACGAGCCACAGCAGCTGGGGGGCTTCCCGTGGTGCCTGCGTGTATAGACGCGGGAGATGGAGAGGCTCGGGCTGTCGTCTATGTGGGCTGTGGAGGATCTCAGGGGTGGGGCGGCAGAGAGGGGCTCAGGGGCCGGGCTCACGCAGGCCAAGGCAGAACTCCCAAGCGGTGAGGAAGCCTGTGCCGGCCTGGTCCAGACTTTCGAACACAGCCTCGAGCTGTTTGGACGTGAGTGGCAGGTCGCTCTGCAGGCCCTGGCCGGGCAAGGATGGCAGGGCTCAGTAGCCGAGGTCAGCCCCAGGCTGGGGCAGCCTCTGGGGTCGGAGGACTCACCTGCAGGTCGTGCCGAGTGATGAAGCCCTTGGTCTCCTTGTCACACAGCAGAAACAGCTCCTGGGCCTGCTCCAGCATCGCTGCCTGTGGCTCCATGGAAACCCCCTCCTCCTCCCCCTCCTCCTGGACCTCCCCAGCCCCAGGCTTCCCAGGGCTGGCCATGGGAGTGGAGGTCTCGGCCGTGAGGTGCTGTGAAGCCAAGGAGGAGTCAGGGCCTGAGCAGAGCTCAGAGGAAAGGAGAGGGGAGGAGAAGGGAAGGCAGCGAGAGGGTGAGGAGTGAGGGTGTCTGAGGGCTGAGCCAGCAGTGCAGAGCCAGCAAGAGCAGAGGGGCCTCTCTGCACCCGGGGGGCAAGAGGGAAAAAGGCATGGCGGAGGTCCAGAGAGGAGGGGCAGCTGGGGGCGTGTGGCCCAAATGGGGTAGTGCTGCAGGCACAGGTGTCACCGTGGGGTGAAGCAGGCTCAGGGCCTGTGGGGGCCGCTCAGGGAGCCAGTGCAGGAGAGGATAGGCTGTGGGGAGGGTGCAATCTCGGTGGGGGGACAGCTGTAAAAGACCTTGTGATGGACAGAGAGGAGGAGGGGGCTCCTGGCAGTTGAGGGGAGAGGGCTTGGGTGAGGGAGTGGTAAGGGGGAGGAGCTGAGCAGGTCCTGGAGTTGGGGACCTGGAGACCGAGCTCACCCGGCTGGGCTGGTGGGAGGAACTGGCCAGTTGTGACTAAGTCCTTAGCCCCTGTGTCTGGGCCTCAGCTGCCCTCACCTTCAGCCAGCTGGCAGGCAGGTAAGCTCCTCCCCAGCCACAACCCCTCCCACCGGGCGCCAGGCCCCAGGAGTGCAGGTGTAGGGTCCGTCCAGGGCGCCCTCCATGGCCCTTGTCAGGAACACCTTCAGATTCTAGGCTTAACAGCCCCTCCCGCTACCCTAGGGCCCTCCCCTCCACCAGACCCACCCCCTCCAAGTCCCCGGAGCCTCCTCTGGGCCTCCCTCCCCGCAGGGAGGGGGCTGCCCCGCCCCCCAATCAGAGCCACCTGTCCTTCCCACAGCACCCTGGCCTCGGATTTCCCAAAGCTAACCCCCAGCCTGGCGACTCCACCATAGACACACCTGGGACTCTGGGGTCGTCTCCCCTCAGTCCAGGATGTGATTGCCTCCCCACCTGTGTTGAGGGGGCGATCTCCAAAGAGGGCAGGTCTGAGGAAGGGGAAGAGGGGGGGACACGGGGCCAGAGTCATCTCCCCCCTCATGCCGACCTTTCACCGGGCGGGTGCACCACCCCTCTGGCGGCCGGCGGGCTCCACGGGACCAGAGGTCCATCCCAGCCGGAAGCTGCGCCTCCGCCGGGCTGGGGGAGCAGGGAGGAAGGGCCGCCAGGCCGGGAGCCGCTGTGCCCCGGCCCCTGGGGGGCCGGGCCCGCCCTCGCCCTTGCCGCCTCGAGCCCCGAGGGGCCCCAGAGTCCCCGACTTCGACACACGGGGGTCAGCGCTCCCTGCGGCAACTGGGAGGGCTGGGGGCGCGGGCTGCGGACCCGAGAGGCACCTACCTGCGAGCTGCACCGCCGCACCTGCCGCGCTCCCGGCCGATCCTCCCGGAAAGGCCGCCGGCACGGGGAGCGTGGACCGGAGCGGCTCCTGCTGCCCTGCAGGCACCAAGACCCTGGCGTGGGACGGCCCCGGGCGGAGCTGCAGCCGCTGCTGTCACCGTGTCCCCGCCTCTCGGCGCTGCCTGGGCAGCTGGCTCTCGCCCCACACCCCGCCGCGCCCCTGACCCCCAAGGCCCGAGTGCCTGTCCCAGCAGAGCCAGAGCGCACGGTGAGGCCCAGATGACCCCGGGGACCTGGGGACCCTTCCTGAGCAAGGCCAAGGGGAAGAGGGGGGCTGTCCTGAGGATCTGGATTTAAGGCACCAAAAGTGTGTGTAGGAAAAAGCCAAGGAGGAAATAGACCAAAATATTTTCAGTGGTTCTCGTGGAGTGGGGTGACTTTACTTTCTTCCCTATCTTTTCCTGATTTGGGTTTTTCCCAGTTTTAAACAATAAACATGTAATATACTAGCAAACAGTATTTTAAATCAGCAGCATAAATGCCTTGCACGTGTGAGGCAAGTGAGTGGGATGGGGCAGGAGGTTGTCACCTCGGCAGCCCCCCCAGCACTCCTCTGGGGGCACAGCCCTGATGGTTCCACTGGGGGAGGGCTGGGAAGAGGAGCTGGGTGGGGCCTGCGTGTGACCTTCCTGTGGGGGGAGAAAATCCCATCCTCTTCCCTCGGGTCCCCCTTCCCAGCCCCAGCTTGGCCCCTGCACCCACCTGGCTGCGCTGGGGGCTGGAGGCCTCTGTCTTTCCAGGGGCTTGGGATCCTGCTGAACTAGAACAGGTTGGGCCTATGGTACGAGACCTTGAGAACGCGAGGGGGGCGGCCCCTGGCATACACGCACCTGGGACCTGCCCGGCCGGCTCTCCCAGTCCTACAGTCCCACTACGACCGTTATTGTTGGCTGGGGGCTGCCCCATGCCTTGGGGGAGGGGGGCAGGTGGGGACTGAACCAGGCAGGACTAAGAGCTCAGGACACCCAGCCAAGTGCCCGGCTCTGCCCCAGCACCCCTCACCCCCTGGGCCCTTGTAGTCACCAAGGAGGGCTGGCCACATTGCCTCACTGCACAGGGCAGAGGACGCTTCCAGGAAACCGTCTGTCCCCCAGAACAACATCCAGCCCCCTTTTGCCCAGATCTCACCCCGCCTAACTTTCCAGACCCCTCCTGTGTAGTGGCAGGAGACTGAGTACCCATTGGGGAAAGGGGACAGGGGAACAAGGTGTGCACACCTGGCCAGTGAGGCTTGTGATGACAAGGGGAAGACCTGCACCTCACACAGAGCCTTGGGCCAAATGCGCAAAGTGGAGGCTCCCAGGTCCCCAGCGCTCAGCTCGGAACCTCACCCTCCGCAGCCGTCCAACCCTGAAATCAGCCCCACGCCCCGTGTCACCGCAGAGTGGAAGTGCAGACGCCACCTTTTGTAAACATTGCGTAGCTTTTATTTAGCAGGGAGCTTGGTCCCCTAATATTTCCATGGCCCTTGGAAAGCTGAGCCCAAGGGTCAGCCAGCACGCCTCAGGGCAAAGTAGGGGGCAAACATATGGGTCCCAGCCAGAGGAGTGGGCTGGAGGCAAGAGACCCACAGGTGCTTTTAGGAGAGAGCCCCAGGCCGCCTGGCGGGCAGGCCCAGAATGCCAGGTTCAAGGATCTCACCGGGGAAGACCGGACCTGAAGCTGCAGAGACACTGGTCAGCTGGGAGGGTGTTGGGGCCAGCGAGTCACATACAAACCGAGAAGGCAGGGGTGAGCTGTGGCATTTATTACATCTGCTTTGGCGAAAATAAATAATTCTTTACAAACATTCTTCAGCAAACATGAAAAATGCAGAGGCAGGAGCAGCTGCAAAGTTCTCAGAAGTAATACTGCGCTGACGGGCGGGGGCCTCGGGCGGGGGTCGCAGGTCCAGGAGCCCCCAGGCGCGGGCCCCGCCCCCTCAGCCCTAGGGTGGGGCCTGGAGGGGGAGATTAAGGCACAGGTGAGTGGGGCCCTCTGCACCTCGCCCTCCTCAGTGCAGCCCGTGAGCGGTTGGTGGAGGGTTGACAGCCAAGCCCCCTTCTCCTTACTCCGCAGGGGGTATGGAGAGAGGCCGGGAGGCGGGAATCTCAACCCCCGCAGGGCCCCGCCTCACGGGGCAGGGAAGCTGGGGGGACCGGCCCTCAGCACCGGGACCCCAGGGGGCTGGGGAAAGCCGGAGCAGGGACGCTCAGCAAGGGGGCAAGCTGGGCGGGGGCTGCGGGGGCGCGGGGGCAGGATCGGCAGGGGCGCGCATGCGCAGGGCGTCCGGCGGGAAGGCCACGTTGGTGCAGAAGAGACCCAGCAGCAGCTGGCGCTGGCACTCCTCCCACTTGGCCAGTGCGTCCCCTAGCGAGAGGCTGTTGCGCATCCAGCTGGGCAGCACCTCGCTGTAAGCGGCGCAGGACAGCGGCACAGAGGGCAGCGACTGGGAGCGGCGCAGCTCCACCTGCTCTGACAGCCTGCAGCCGGGAGGGACCCAAGGAGGGAGGGTCTTAGTGGGGGCCACGGAGGCTGCGGCCCCCGGTGGACGCGGCAGTCAGGGGCTCACCTGGAGGGCAGGTGGCTGCCCAGCTTCCTCTTGGCGCGCATCACCAGGTACTGGCAGATGCTGCCCGTCTGCTCCTTCATCCACCGGATGTCCTCAGGGACGTAGGGCAGCCACTCCAGCAAGCTAGGGCGGGGTTGGGAGGCATGGCTTCAGCGGCTATGGCTGGGCCCTGACGCCCACCCGCACCCCACCCCAGTCTGTGCCCTGGCTTCTGGAACCCCTGACCCGGCATCTCCGCAGCGCCCCCAACCAGCTGCCTCTTCCCCCGGGGTGCCCACCGCTCATGGATGACCCCAAAGCCCGGTGCCCTGCGCTCCCCTCCCCACCGCACCGGATGGTGAAGGAGACGGCACTCTCCAGCGGCAGGGTGTAGGGCACCATCATGGCCGTGGCCAGACGCACGGGCAGCATGTTGGACAGCGTGGTCAGCAGGTCCTTGGGCTCCACGCAGGCCTCCAGCAGGGCTGCGGGTGGGGTGCAGAAGGGGAGTTGGCGGCCGGTCGGGGAGGCACGGGCCAGGCCCACTCTGCTCCTCGGCTTCCGCGCAGGCCAGGTCCCGCCCCTCTCCCCCCACTCCACCCCCTCACACCCTCATTGAGCGGAGCAGGCAGATGCTCCAGGATGTGATCCTCCCCGGGCGGCTGCAAGTGGCCCTCCGCTGGAGCCCTCTCCGTGGCCGCCTCGGCCTCCTCCGCGTCCTCGTCCTTCGGGGCTTGGGGGTGGGCGGCCGGCAGCGCCAACAGTGGGTTGGGCTGGTTCAGGAGGCCTGAGTGGAGAGGACGGCACCCGCCATCAGCGCGGCCGCAGCCCGGCAGGCCCGCAGGGGCCAGTAGTACAGAGCCTGCCTGCCAGCCCAGCCCACCTGCCTGGCCAAAGGGGCTGGACAAGCGCTCTCCCAGCTCCTGGGCAGGGCCGCGCACGCACCGTTCCGCCGCAGGAAGCGCAGGCCGTCCCTGTAGCCCTGCTTGCACATCTCTCGCAGCACCTAAGGCAGGGGGATGGATAAAATGGAGCAGAGGAGCCAGACATGCCCTGTTCTGCCCCCTAGACTCCCTGCACACACACACACACGCACACACCACCAAGGTACCTTGGATCCAGATCCAGGCTAGACAGGCTGCCGCCCGGTGGAGAAGCTGTACAGGACACAGCACTCATCCCCAGCCCTCAGAAGAGGGCGTCCGGATCCCCACCCCACCGTGGTCACTCAGGAGAGGTCACACGGGCAGCTTTCTCCCCCAGTGCTCAGCGAGGAGAGGCTGTGCGGGCCAGGGGGCTCACCATGGGCTCGGGAGGGAACAGGGCCTTGGAGAGGCGGTAGAGGTTGCGCAGGTTGAACTGGATGCTGGTGTTGGTGACCCGGAGCTCGTGGATGTTGGTGGAGCTGTCCTGCGGGCAGATGTCACTCTCGCCCGAGAAGGGGGACACTGTGATGGTGTTCTTGAGCTCGTAGAGGGGCAGGTTGTCCGAGATGCCGCCGTCCACATAGCGCTGCGGCAGGGAACACCACCACACGGTCAGAGGCCTGCAGGGTGAGCCAGCTGCCCCACCAGCCACCACGGGCCTAGCCAGTGGCTATTTCGTTTGGGCCTTTCACCCACTGGGCACTGGCCGTGGGCTGCCTGGCCACTGAGCAGACAGCCAGCAGTGGTGGGGGGAGGGGAGGCAGCCACAGAAATTGTGCATCTCCACGGGCGGGCCTGGCTCTTGAGTAACCCCGGGGGAAGTGGAGCAACGGTCCGTGGCAGGAGTGAGGGGTAGTGGCAGGGGCACAGATGGCCTTCCCCCCACTCTTGTCCCGTAGCCCACACAGTAGCTGACTTGTCACCCAGGAAGGTGCCCGGGGGTACTTACTATGCCCTGGAGGGAGGGCGGGATGAGGCCACAGTACACAGGAATGAAGGTGCTACAGACATTGGCCTGCGGGCGGGGGCAGAGAGGGGGTGATGAGCAGGGGCCTCGGGGTTCATACTGCACCCCCAACGCGGCCCCACCAGGGCCCACCTGGACGAGCTCATCCCTGGAGTTGAAGTGGGATATAATCACATTCTCGCCATCAGAGACACGGGTCAGGGAGATGCCCAGGCGCCCGTTGGCCCGCTCATGGCTTTCAGCAGGCAGGATCCTCAGCAGGCAGCCACGGATGATCTTCACCAGGTTGAAGGAGGGGTGCAGCGGACCCAAGAACCGCTTCCGGGCCTCCTTAGACACCTCAATGATGTTGGCACCGGCCTCGCCTGGGGCAGCAGGGCCAAGGGTCAGGGGCTGGCACTCCTGGCTGTAGCACACCCCCCACGGCTCCATGCCCGAGGTCCCCCGGCACACAGACCCAGTGTCGCCCCATCTACCCTGGAGGATTCCCAGTGCCTACCATGGGACGCAGCCCACAAGTGGGACTCTTGCCACCTGCCCTGGGGAGAGAGAGGCAGGCCACCACCCCTGGGAGGGCAGACAGCTGGGGCCGGAGCCTGCCCTCTGGCCAGTATTTCCCAACTCTGCCTGCCCCGATCCATGAGTCACTGAGCCTGGCGTGGTGTGGCACCCAGCCTGGGAAGGGGGAAGACAGCAGCTCAACTCTGACCAGACTCAGTCTTCACCCACTTGGCCAGATCCAGACCCGCAGAGCCCAGTGCAGCCCAGGGGTCCCACAGCCCAGGAGACACGAGGTTGGAAATAGTGGGGCCCCACCACTGCTGAGAAAACGTGATTGTGTCCCACGGCAGCCAAGAGCAGGCAACCCCCAACATCCCCCTTGGGGGACCCTGGGTGCTGGCCTAGGACAAAGCCAGAGTGGGAGCAGGCCCAGGAGTGGTCAGGGAGCAGGAGGCCTTGGGGAGGAGCTGAGGACCATGCCCTCCTCCAGGAGCAGCACCCTGCCCACGAGTGGGGCAGTGTGGGACCAGCACCTCCACTCTGGGGGGACTCCAGTGGCTCAAGACGGATGGTGAGAAAGAGGCTTCTTGGGAGTGGGGTGGAAGAGGCACTGCGGGAGCCATGTCCTCAACTAGTTGCCAGGGACCTAGGTGTGTCCTGAGGCCAGCATGGGGGTCTGAGAGGCATTGGCCTGCGGGCCTCCATGGGGGGGGGCAGGGCCACAGCGTGAATCCTCAGGTCCCAAGAATATAAAGCTGTGCTCCTTCCACCCCACCCCTCTCAGGTCAAAGGTCATCAGAAGGGGGCAGGGGAGAACCCTAACAGGCCCCTGCTGGGCAAGACATTCAAGAACCTGATGACCCCTCTGTCACTTGGGCTGCTCTAGTAGGCTGGGGGCTGGGCAGCATTCCCAGGACTCCTAAGACTCGGCATGCTATAAACACCCCTCGCAGACGCAGGCCGGAAGTATGTGAGTGGGGGAGCCCATCCCAGCACACACAGACCACCTGAGGCCCGGGCTGGAGAGTCCAGGAGCACCTCCCACCCATGGGGTGAGCAAAAACGGCTGGCCACAGCTGGGGACTCAGGCCCACGGTGGGCCGCGTGCAAGGCAGGAGAGGGCGGGAGAGAGTCTGCTATGCCCAGGCCTAACCTGTGGGTCTCCTTCTCCAGGGGCCCTCGGGAGGCACCAGGCCACAGTGCCCAGATGCGCTCTTCAGAAGCCACCCCCATACTAGGCCCTGGGCTCCAGGACGCAGTGACCGCTGGCTCTCGGTCCGATGCCCGATGCCGGGAGCGAGGGGGGGCGGCTTAGGCCCCTCCCCCGGCTCTCACGGTCCCGCCCACGACTTACTTTCTCTTTCCACTGACAGCTTCCGCCGCACCTGCCCGTCCCGCAACCTCTGCGCCCAGAGGCAGGCCCAGAAGCGCGCCGGGGCCGTACCCCAATCCCTGAGCATCATCCGAGCAAAACAAACCAGGCCCCGCCCCCCGGGCGGCGCCCGGGATTGGACCCTCGGCCTGAGCAGAGACCCCTCCCCGCGGCACCCGGAGCTCCGGTGGCACCCGCGGCCGGGCCAGCGCCCCTGTGTGGAGGGATGGGGGGCGCTCTAGCTCACGAAGAGCATCCCCCGGCCCCGCCCGCCCCGCTCACCCAGGCAGGCCCCGGTGACCAGCGTCGTGGCCGTCAGCGCCCCGGCCGAGGCGCCGTAGATGTGCGTGGCGTTGGCCACCAGGAAGGGCGCGTGCTCGCGGAGGCAGGAGGCCACGCCGACGTGGTAGACGCCGAGGAAGCCGCAGCCCGCGAACGAGATGTTCCACGTCGCCTCCTTGGGGAACATCGCGGCGGCCGCCGGGCTCCGGGGCTCCGCGGGCGGCCGGCTGGTGTGCACCGCGCGCTCGCCGCTCGCTCTGGAGCCGGACGCGGCGGTCCCTCGGTCACTCCCGCTCGGGGTCTCCGCCGGCGGAGGCGGCGACACTGCGCGGGGCGGGGGCGGAGGCAGTGTTTTTAGTGGGGGTGGGCGCGGGGGAAGTGGGCGGGGCGGGGCCGGCACGCGCGGCCCAATCGTGGGCGAGAGGAACGGCCGCGCCCTCGGGGCGGACCCTGAAGCCCCGCCCCTGGCCCAGAGGCCCACCCGGGCCTGAGCCCTCAGCCCGAGACCCCGCCCCCGCCCCGGAGGTCCACTGAGACCCCAACCCCCGGTCGTGGAGCCCCGCCCCCGGCCCAGACGCCCACCCGGGCCTGAGACCTCAGCCCGAGACCCCGCCCCCGGCCCTGGAGCCCCGCCCCCGCCCCAGAGGGCCACTGAGACCCCGCCCCTGGCCCTGGAGACCCGACCTCGGCCTCCCAGGCTCACCTCGACCCCGGGACCCCGCTCCCGCCCCGGTGGCCCAGCTCGGCCCGAGACTTCGCCCTCGGCCCCGAGACCACGCGAGGGGAGGGCCCTGCTGCCTAAGCATCTGCTGACCCCTCCCTCGGGGGTCCGCCTACAACACCCGCCCGGGACACTGAGGAGCTCGCCCAGGGCAGGGACCCCCAGTGTCCACCGATTCGTCCACAGCCTGACCCCCTGACATCCAGGGCCGGATGCGAATCACACACACACACAGACTACTTCAGAGCCAGCGCCCGCCGCGAACCCACACCTGACATCCGGGCCCCAGCCCTGCCGGCCGCGGCCCCCCTTCCTGGGCACTAACCCGGGTCCTACCTGCGTCCGACGCCGGCTCCTCAGGCTGTGGGGTCTACCTGGGTATGACTCGGGCCCTGCCCGCCCCCGCGAATTGCCCCAGCGGGTGGAGCACCCCGGATGATGTCACCCTGCCACCCCTTTTCCGCATTTTTCTCCTGGAGCGTGTGGGTCAGGCCTCGCTTGGCTTGGTTCCAGGAGCCAGCCCTGCACCTCACGCCACCTCGCAAAGGGGCTGATCCATGCTGAGGTGGTGGGGAGGCTCCTGGGGCAGTGTGCGTGTTTCCCCAGACACACTCACTCCTAGGCGGGCGCTCAGCTCAGGACGCAGCTGGTGCCAGGGCTGCGGCCAATCTGGCTGCGGCATGGGACTGCCCCCCCACCCAGGCCCAGGCCCAGGCCCAGAAGCCAGACCAGGGCCTCCCCAGGACACGGCCATCTGGGGTCATGCTGTCCAGCTCTCAGCCTCTGTGCTCCCTACCACCATTGTTAGCACCGATGGTGTGCCTGGCATGTGCGCCAGCACAGGGTAGCACAGTGAGCAGGGTCAATGAAGACCCGGCCCTATGGGGGGGCAGGGAACAGACAGTGTTTACATAAGCTCAAAATGAGGACCTAGAGGAGTGAAACGTGTGTGGACACAGAGTTCACCCAGGAAGCGCACAGGGCTGCCCAAGCCACCCAAGCGCATGTGCAAAGGCCCTGGGTGGGGGGATTGCAAGGAGAGGGGAGCCCTGGCCTGGGCCCTGGGACAGGAGAAAGCAGGAGTCGGGATCTGACCAAATTTGACTTACAAAGACTTGTCCCTCTCCCTGCATGGGACCCCATCCCATGGAGGTATGGATGAAGGAACAGCACAGAGAGGGTGTGGTCCCATTAGGACCATCAGGGCCCTTAATGACCAAGCCCTGGGGGTGCTGCTGGAGACAGCAGGGGCACAAGTGCCTCACAGTGGGGATGGGGTGGAACCCAAGGCTGGGCAGGAAAGTCCAGGGGTCACCAGCATAACAACCAAGATGGGACCGGGCAGGGCGGGCTGAGCCCGGGACCCAAGAAGGTCCCCTACAGACCTGCTCCAAGGAGAGGCCAGGGTCCAGGCCCTCCCTGCTTCTGAGGGGCCTTGGGGCCTTGGAGGGTGGTGCTGCCCCAGTGCAGGGAGATCTCTGCCCCCATTTCCACACAAGGTTGAACTGTTTTGAGTACATTTCCTCCCTCCAGGCCCCTGGGACTGTCAGCTCTGGAGCCAGGAACAGGGCGGCCCTTCCAGGAATCCTGGGTGGGGGTGGGAGGTGGGCCCGGTGGAGAAGCCCTGGGGTCTGGTGTGTGATGATTCTACCAAGCAGTTGTCTTGTCCCCACTCCCATGGTGTCCTCCAGCCCACACAGGGGAGTCTGAGGCTGGGATGGTGAGCTCTGCCCTGGACCCTAGGTCCACTCCTCTGGGGGGCCCTCTACCCCAGCCTAGGGCTGTGGTCCCCCACCACCTGTGACCCCCGGCATCTACAGCCCCATTCATCCCCCTTCACAGCACACACTGCCAGGATCTCTGCAGTGGTCCTTCTCTTGGCTCCATGTCCCACACCCCCGCAGCACGGATTCTCCCTCTCCCCGAGTCCCCGCTCCTCTGGGTAACCCGAGGGGTCTCAAGACCTTCTTCCCCTCACACCCCTGCACTCTTGCCCCCGGCCTCTTCCTTCAGGTCTTGGAGCCTTACCCAAGGGAAGCCTCCCCAGCCCAGCTGTCTGCTATCATACTGATTATTTTCTCCACAGGGGCAGGTGCTTCTCCAGTGCTGTGGCCTTGCACACAGTAGCTACACACCATACCACAGCCAACCAACCCAGAGCCTTCGGAGGGGGAAGCACTGTCTCCTAGGTGGCCTGGCATTGGTGGACAGTGGGAGGGCCTCTGCCCTCTCCCCCACCATTCCAGGACAGAGCCTGGTGGGAAGGGTATGGGCAAGCCCACCCCAAAAGGACCCAGTGAGCACGTGGCCCAACGTCACTGCCCACAAGCCATTTCCACACGTGCCCAGGTGTTGGCCCATCAGACTGCTGGGGAAACTGAGGCTCAGATAAGCTACATGAGTGCTCCAAGCTGCTCAGGGATTAAGGTAGAGCTGAAGCACTGACCCTTGCAGGGAAATGCAGGGTCCACGCACCCACCCCCACACCTCCTCTCGTGTAACTGAAGACCATCACAGGTCCTGGGAGAAGTGCTGGCCTTGCCCAGCCGGAGCCACCTCAATGAGCAGTGCAGACCACCCACTGCTGCTTCTGAAGTTCTCCTGGGTGTCCCCCTGAAGGCTGCACTCAATGGGAAGGCGCTGGCAGACCTCAAGAGCCAGGACCATGCCCAAGAAGGGGGCTCATGTACCCTCCCAAGCCCGCTCAAGGCTTGGCCACACCCAAAACAACACACACCCCCCAAGCATTCATTTTTGCACCAGACCCTTGTATCGTCAGCACCCCCCCAACCAGGGTTCAGCTGCTCCCCCTCACTGGGATGGGCCCCTCCTGGATGAGGCCTGCCCACCCACCATGGGGCCCCCACCTGCCCTGCACTGAGGCCAGAGTGCAGAGGCCACACTCTGACCAAGTGCTCATGGACCGCTGGAGAGATACTTAAAAACAGTTTTATTTGCAGGGGAGTGGGACTCTAATCGAACAAGCCAAATCCCATGTCGTCGTCTGACTCCTCGGACTCCTCCTTCTTCTCCTCCTTCTTCTCTTCTACTGCGGAGAGAAGAGGCCAGTGAGCGAGGCCAGCAGGGAGGGCAGACTCCTAGCAGAGACCCCAGGGCACCCACCACCACAGCTGCCTGAGCCTCCACTTACCTGCGGCTGGGGCGGAACCAGCAGCAGGAGCTGTAGATCCCGGGGCAGCAGAGACGGCCACAGCCCCGCCGGCGGGCACGCTGGCCAGCTTGCCAATACCTACCAAAACCAGAGAAGGGAGGTGAGACCAGAGCAGGTGTTTGGCCTGAAGGCTAATCCAGGAGAGTGACGAAACCATCTGCCCAATGTATCAGGCCCATCCCCAAGTGCCAGCGCACAGGCTCCCCTGCTCCTGGACAGAAGGCTCTGCCACACACACCTCCAGCCCCAGAAACTTTCTATCTGGGGACTCAGCTTCCAGGTACCCCTCCAGGAGCCGCTGGGCCAAAGCACCCCACCTTGTAGGTGAGTTGAACACGTTTATAACCAGGCAGCGATGAGCCTGCTGCCTGTGTCCAGACCCTCGTCCCCAGCAGTGAGCTCATAAATGAGACTGTTTGGGAAGCTGGCTTTGCCCCATCACGTGCCCAGGGACAGAAACAGCTGCCCCAACAACTCAGCTTTCAAACAGGTCCCCTCAGCTCCAACCTGATGTCACCACAAAACCATCTGCCCAGCAAAGGGAAGCATGGGCCTGTGGTCATCCCTGGCACCCCCAGCCTCTGCTCCCAACCCCCTCCCATCCAAAGCACGTGGTCAGACTTGTTTACAAGATCTCAGTCCCCAGACACTGCAGGCACAGCAACCACGCCCAGGAAATGAGGGCGCCCCCTGCCCCCAGGAGTGTCTAGAAGCACCCGTGGCATGAGCCCACTGAAGCCCTGCCTACTCCTCCGGGCGAGGCTCCTACGGTGCTCTGGTCCACAAGCGAAACCTGGCAGGCCACAGGCTGACCAGCAGGGATTAGGATGGACGATGAAAACAAAGCGCCCCACCACCTGACGCACACACAATCTCACCCTGGGCAATGACGTCTTCAATGTTCTTCCCGTTCAGCTCACTGATGACCTAGAGCAGACAACCAGAGCCAGCAGTTACCAGGAACCCACCATCACACCCGTGGGACTTAACCGCCTTCTCCAGCCAGGGGAGGGCTGGCCTCGGGCACAACGAGGAGACGCCTTGAGGCTTCTGGGCCTGCACCACCCACTGCAGTTAATACCCACACGCAGAATCTCTGAATGGAAACGGGCTGCAAGTGAGAACCTGTACCAAATTTCTAAGACTCGTTACTACCCGTGGAAATAACGCCTTCAGTAAGTAGTAGAAAAAAAGACGGCAGTGAAGTGTGCTCGGCCCTCTTCCCTTTTGCAAAAGTGTAGCTACTAACGACTTTTTAATTACACGTGACTTGCCTTGTACTCCTACCAAGCCACGCGGGGTGGGACGTGGCCTCACACCCACGTTTGCTCCCTCGGGGCTGCATCAGGGCCCCAAAACGCAAGCCAAGACACGACCACGTGGACAGGCACAGGCCTCCCCCAAACTTGCGGACACGTAAACTGCTCTTTCCAAAGGTAAACGCGACCGGGTAGGAGTGGGCCCCACGCGCGGAGCTCCGGGCCGGCCGGCTACCTTGTTGAGCCGGTCGTCGTCCGCTTCGATGCCCACGCTGTCCAGGATCTTCCTGATGTCCTTGGCGCTGGGGGAGGTATTGCCCCCCAGGGCGGCCAGCAGGTAGGAGGCGACGTAGCGCATCCTGCAGCGGAAGGACAGGGCGGCGGCGTGACCAGGTCCCTCCCGGCCGCGCGTGGCCCGGCCCGGGGCCCCCGCCGAGCCCGCCCCGCGCCCCGCGGCCCCGACCCGGCCCGCACCGCGGCCCAGCCACCCCACTCACTCGGCTGCGGCGACGGTGGAGAGGCCTCACGCGTGCGACCTCGGCGGCGTCCGGGACGGAAAGGAAGGCGCCGGCGCGGGGGGCGGGGGTAATCCGCTACCCAGAAGCCTCCGGGACCCGCGCGCCGCGCCCCGCGGGGGCGCCTGCGAGTGGCGTCACGCGGCGCTCAGCCAATGAGGACGCAGAAGAAGCCATCGTCCCGTTCCGTCCCGCAGCCGCCACAGCAAAGACGAAGGGCAGTTCAGGGCAGTTCCGGGGCAGCCTTCTTGTACAGCGTGGGGCGGGGGTCCCCCGAAATCTCTGGGACGGCGGGGCGAAGCAAGGCGCGAGGCCGCAGCTCTCGTTGAGAGCTCCCAGCATGCCATGCGGCGCCTACAGCTCCCAGCAAGCAGCGCGGCCGCCACGCCTGGGACGTATCCCCTTTTGGGAGCGGCCGATGCTGCCAGCGAACTACAAGTCCCGTGGTGCACGGCTGCCGGAAGCGCCGGCGCGCTGCTGCGTGCACGGGCTGCACGTGGGCTGCGCGGAGGCTGCTCAGGCCGCCTCGCTTCCGGCTCTCGGTAGTTCCCTGCCGCTGGGACAGAGGCTTGGTGTTCTGCGGGGGCAGGTGGCGCTCATCCTGTCCGGGCCGGGTGACGCGGGCGAGCCGTCCCTCACATTCACACCGCATAACCGAGGCGCCTGGGCCTAGTGGCTGCCCCCCAGGTCAGGAGTGGCCAGGTCCGAGTGACCGGCCCCCGCCCTGGCCGTGTCGGCTCTGAACTGACCTTAGCATCCACGCGGATATCAGCACATGTCACTCCTCCGTGTCAGGGACCCTGCTGCAGGCTGGCGTCCTGAGAGGGGACAGCCTGACGTGATTCCGCAGAACGTACCTTCTAGTGCGAGGGGTGCAAAGTGAATAAACGAGGCAGTCCCAGGCTGAGAGAGACGCTGAGGGGACGAGGCGCTGACCCCGAGCTGAAAGACGAGAAGGAGCCGGCCTGCGAAGATCTGGGGCGAGCAGCAGGCAGAGGAGTGAGATGCAGAGGCCCACAGTGGCTGGAGATGGGTCCCAAGGCAGCAGCCGGCCCATGGGGGCTCTAACAGGGCGAGCCCTCGTGTGTAGGCATCAAGCGCTTGTGTGTTAACACAAAACAGACAGCTGCCCTAGGCGTCATGTAGTCATTCCCCCCATGTTATAGAGGAGGAGCACCGGCACAGAAGGGTTTTCTTGCTCAAGGTCACACAGCTGGGGTCAAGCAGGGAGACCATCCTCACAAGGATAGGAATTTGTTGCAATCACATAGGGAAGGGGCACATTGAGATTATTTTTTTGAGTGGTAAAATAACACAACATAAAATTTACCATTTTAGTCACACAATTCAGTGGTGTTAGGTGCATTCACACTGTTGTGCAACCATCACCACCATCCATCTCCAGAACTGTTTCCATGTTCCCAAGCTGAACGCCACACTCATTAAATACTAACTCCCCATCCCCCACCCCCAGCCCCTGGCACCCACCATCCTACTTTCTGTCTCTATGAATTTGACGACTCTAGGTCCTCAAATAAGTGGAATCACACAGTATTTGTCCTTTTGTGATTTGCTTATTTCACTCAGCATAATGTCCTCAAGGTTCGTCCATCTTGTAGCATGTATCAGAATTTAATTCCTTTTCAAGGCTGAATAATATTCCTGTGAGGGATTTTATAGAAGATTCTTCTGGCAGCTAGGCAGAAACTGAATGGGGGACAGAAGCTGGGGAGAATGGATGCCTAGGAGGAACTGCCCATCCTGGCGGGGGGGATGGCAGTCACTGGGGAGGTGGAGGAAAGAGGGTGCACACGATGTGATTTGGGGCAGAGCAGGCAGAACTAGATGTGTTCATCTGTTCATTTGCAGAGCACCTACTCTACTGGGTGAAGGAAGGGGAGAATGAGCACAGGCCGCGGGGGGCTCTCTTGAGAGTCAGACAGAGACCTGGTTTGAGGGTCTTGGCTTTGGCATGCAGCAGCTACGTGGCCTGGGGCAAAATCTGATCTCTCAGAGCCTCCTTTTCCTCCCTGGTGAGATGCACACAGAGACTGAAGGAGGCAGCATGTGAGGACGCCCAGCACCTGGCCCGGAGTGATCACCCATAAAGTCAGGACATGGAGCTGGGGCCCCACTCTGCAGGGCCTGAGAGGAGGCCCCAGAAGGCCTTCTGGAGAAAGAGGCCATTGGGGCTGGCTGGGGAAGGACACAACACTGAGAGCTCTAGCTTCTGGCAGGGGGTGGGTGTGGGGCAGCAGCTGCCATCAGCCACCAAAGCCCCCAAGCCCCCCTCCCCCCTGCCCGGAGACTGCACCAGCTCATTTTAACATGGGGCCAGGAATGCACAGCCCCGAGCAGAGCGGGCCTTGGGCCAAGAACCTCTGAAGGGGCGGGTCTCGTGGCGCGCAAAGCGGGCCTTCCCGGCGGGACGGGAAGGCTGGACGGCACCGACAGACGCAGATAACAGGAAACAGTGCGGCGGGGCGGGCGGCTCGGCAGATGGGGTCTCAGCCGCGTCTCCAGGGCGGCCGGCCGCAGAGGGCAGGCAAGGCGGGGAGGGACCCTGAGGACTATCCCGCGGACCCCAGCGGGAGCAAGGGGCGTTCTCTGACGGGGCGGGGCCCGGAGGGGGCGGCGCCCGGAGTCAGCCCGCCCGGAAGCGCGCCGGCGGGAACTTGGGCGCGGAGCCGGCACCCGGGACTGCGCCCGGCCTGGAGCGCAGGTACCGCGGGCCCCAGGCCGGCCGTGGGACGGCGGGGGTGCGGGGAAGGCGCGCTCTCCTGGCCGGAACCGGATCCAGGCCATGTGAGCCCCAAAGGCGCCGGGCACCGCCGTCCCTAGCGGACGGAGGGGTGAACTGAAGGTGGCGGGCCAGCCCTCCTCCAGGGGTCAGGAGGTGGGGTCCCGTCCCCGGGACCCCAAAGCCACCCAGTGGCTCAGACCCCAGGTTCCCTCTCCCATTCACGTCTCTGACATAGGCGAGCACAATCACACCCTCCCTGGCCTGGGCCACCGCCCCCACGTGGTGGATGAGAGTTCTGGCCCTCCTGTCAAAGCTGCTGAGCGTGAAGTCTGGAGGTGGGGCAGGACCCTGGCCTCTCGTCCAGGAGGGGAGGGAGGGACAGCCAGGATGAGCCGACAGTTCTAGAGTCACTTGTCCAAATGCCCAGAAGTAGGATGTGAAGCCTCACTTCCTTCCCACGGCAAGCAGGTTCCCCAGATTACTCTGCCCACAAGGGTCTCCCTATCTGCTGCCCTCCCAGACCTGGGGGTCCCATTCCTCAGCCCCATTTCAGCCATAATCTGTCCAGCCTAGGCTCTGGGCTCTGTGGACCAGCTGGCCTGGCTGAAGGGCTCCTCCCAGCCAGAGTCCCTGTTCCCTTGACTGGGAGGAGGGCCCAGCCCCACTCCCACCCCCTCCTCCCCCTGACTCTGCAGCCTCCCTGGGCTCTGCCTGAGCAGGCCTGCCTGGCAAGCTGGGACATGTCTGGCCCCCGAGGACGGCCGGTGGGCAATGGATGCGGTGGCGGAGGGGCTGGAGCCCCAGGCGGCTGCTGCAGAAGATGCTGCAAGAGACGCTACAGATGCTGTGGATGCAGGGCTCGGGGTGCCCCCTCTCCTGGCTGGGAACCGGCTGAGCCTGGACCTGTACCCTGGGGGCTGCCACCGGCTGCTGCACCTGTGTGCCCAGCAGCCCCGTCAGCTGCTGGAGGTGGAGTTCCTGCAGCTGAGTGGCCACGAGGACCCTCAGCTGCTGGAGGCCACCCTGGCCCGGGTGCCGTGGAGCCTGCCGCGCCTCCGTTCCCTGGTCCTCAAAGGTGAGCCCCACCTGGTCCCAGCCCCATCACTATTCTCTGTGCAGCTCTACCCAACTCCCCCTCACCAAGGTGAAGCTGGCAGAGCCGCAGCTCCTGGATGCTGCAGCTGCTCAGTGGGGTCTCCCAGCAGACCCCAGTGTGGGGGTTTTTCCTGGGGTGGGTTATGGGTGATGGCCATCAGCTGAGACGAGCCTGCAGTCTCTGTCCCTGCCTCCCTCCGTCTGCTGGTGTCTCTCCAGTATCTCCGTCTGTCTGTCTGTCTGTCTGGGTGGGCTTGGGGTGGAGATCTGTGCCTCCTCGAAGCTCCTTCCCTGGCTGGCAGGGCCACGCTGGGACCTGGGACTCTGGCTCTGAGTCGCATCTGCATTCCCCCTTCCCAGGTGGGCAACGCTGGGATGCATGGGGTGCCAGCCTCCGGGGCTCCCTGACCACGCTGCCAGCCAGCCTGAGTGGCCTGGCCAGCTTGGCTCACTTGGATCTGAGCTTCAACAACCTGGAGACGCTGCCAGCCTGCGTCCCGCAGATGCACCGCTTGCGTGCCCTCCTGCTCTCTCATAACTGCCTCTCAGAGCTGCCTGAGGCCCTGGGGGCCCTCCCCGCCCTCACCTTCCTTGCTGTCACCCACAACCGCCTGCAGACACTGCCCATGGCCCTGGGGGCCCTGTCCACCCTGCAGCGCCTCGATCTCTCTGAGAACTTTCTGGACACTCTGCCCCCGGAGATCGGAGGCCTGAGCAGCCTCGCCGAGCTCAATCTGGCCTCCAACCGGCTGCAGACCCTCCCGGCCTCCCTTGGTGAGTAGCAGCCACACACCCCTGGGCTCACTGGGCCTGATGGGAGCTCCCCTCGGCCACTGCCCAGCGTCTGCAGGGGGGCCCGCACACACAGGCTCGGCCCACCTTGGAGCCCCCGCTCCTCGTAGGCAGCCCTCGTTTGCTTCCCCACTTCTCTCGCCTTCGAGGCTCCCTGCGCAGACTTGCCCTAGTCTCTGAGTCCAGCCACAGGGCAGGGCTTCTCCGGGAGGCCCTAGCATGAGCGGCCTGGCCTGACGCTCCAGGGCCCGGGTGGCCCTGAGTGGTCCTCTGCTGGCCCTAAGCCGGTGCCTGCCTGCAGCGGGGCTGCGGTCCTTGCGGCTCCTTGTTCTGCACAGCAACTGCCTGGCCTCAGTGCCCGCCGGCCTGGCCCACCTCCCACTGCTCACCCGGCTGGACCTGAGGGACAACCAGCTCCGGGACGTGCCCCCCGAGCTCCTGGACGCCCCCTTTGTGCGACTGCAGGGGAACCCCTTGGGCGAGGCCCTGCCAGACCCCAGCAGTCCCCCAGGTAAGCTTGTTGCTGGGGAGGGGCAGACCACGGGCAGGATGCAGGCACCATCACTGTCTTCACCACTCATCTGTCTCTCCGCAGGGACACCCACGGTCCCGGAAATGCCCAGCCTGTTCCTGAGCTCAGAGTTGGACAGGTGTGAGGTGGGGGAGGGGTGGGGCTGGAGGGGCACCTGTCCACCCTGTCACCCTGTCCATGCTGGACACCTTGCCCATGCCTCGGGGGTCTTCTCTTAGGGTTCCCCAGTGCCAGACTCAGACATACAGCCCCTTCTGTGTCTGACCTGATGCTCACCTTGTCCTCGCTCAGCTTCCCTGTGACCCCCCAAGGCTGCTCCGTGACCCTGGCCTGTGGCGTGCGCCTGCAGTTCCCTGCTGGGGCCACCGCTACCCCCGTCACCATCCGCTATCGACTGTGGCTGCCGGAGCCATGCCTCGTCCCCCTGGGTCCCCACGACTCCCTGCTCAGTGGCGTCCTGGAGCTGCAGCCCCACGGGGTGGCCTTCCAGCAGGCAGGGCCGGGGCAGGGCAGGGCGGGGGCGGGTGAGGAGGGCCCAGGCCCGGCCCCAGCACTCACACCACCCTGGCCTGCAGAAGGTGGGCCTGTGGCTGCTCTTTGTGCCACCGCGGGCCTGGCGTTGCCGTGAGGTGGTGGTCAGGACCCTGAGTGACGACGGCTGGAGTGACCTGGAGACCTACCTGGAGGAAGAGGCACCCAAGGTGAGGGCTATCCTGCCTGCCTGGGAGGAAGCTCCAGGAGCGGCCCCGCCCAGACCCCCGTCCACCCCTGCCGGACAGCTCTGCCCCTCTGCCCTGACCCTGACTCCCCTCTGACTGCTCCCTCTGACCCCACCCCCCCGCCCAGCGGCTCTGGGCTCACTGCCAGGTGCCCCACTTCTCGTGGTTCCTCGTGGTTTCACGCCCTGTGTCTGACGCCTGCCTGGTGCCACCAGAGGGGACATTGCTGTGCTCCTCGGGACATCCTGGGGTCAAGGTCACATTCCCCCCTGGGGCCACCGAGGAGCCTCTTCACGTCCGCATGCAGGTACGAGCGGGGCGGCCACCGAGGGTAGGGGGTGGTACCTCAGCACAAGGTGAGCGTTCAGGGGGGCCTGTCTGCCCCAGGTGGTGCATATGGCCAGCAGAGAGCTGCGAGCCCTGCTGGAGGAGCCCGAGGGGGCCGTGAGCCCCCTGCTGTGCCTCTCGCAGAGCGGCGCCGCCAGCTTCCTCCGGCCAGTCACTGTGCAGCTGCCTCTGCCCCCTGGCGTCACAGGTGAGAGGCGGCCGTGTGGCATACCTGGACTCGTGGCCACAGGATGGGGGAGCAGTGCTCAGAAGGGGAGCCCTGCCAGGGAGGCCTGAGCCTGTGGCCCCTTCCCGTCCCCAGGCCTGAGTCTGGACCGCTCTCGCCTGCACCTGCTGTACTGGGCCCCTCCTGCAGCCACCTGGGATGACATCACAGCCCAGGTGGCACTGGAGCTCAGCCACCTGTATGCTCGCTTCCAGGTCACGCACTTTTCCTGGTCAGTGCACCCCTCCAGCCTCCCCAGTCCCCTCCCCAACCCACCCCTGTCCGTCCAGCCCCACCTCACCCCCAGCCCTCCCAGGTACTGGCTCTGGTACACCACCAAGACCTGTGTGGGGGGCCTGGCGCGGAAGGCCTGGGAGCGGCTGCGGCTGCACCGCGTGAATCTCATCGCACTGCAGAGGCGCCGGGACCCCGAGCAGGTCCTGCTGCAGTGTCTGCCCCTCAACAAGGTGGGGGCAGGGTCAGGGGTCTGGGAGGGCCAGGTCAGGAGGGTCAGGTTGGGAGGGCAGCAGGGCGGGGTCCAGAGGGCCAGGGCGGGGCTGCAGGGCGCTGGGCTCTGAGCTGGCGGGTGTCCCCCCAGGTGGATGCCACCCTGCGGCGGCTGCTGGAGCGGTACCACGGCCCCGAGCCCTCCGACACCGTGGAGATGTTCGAGGGCGAGAAATTCTTTGCCGCCTTCGAGAGGGGCATTGATGTGGATGCCGGTATGCCCCATGCCCACAGAGAGGGGACCCTGGGGTCCGCCCCCAGGCTCCCCACTGAGCCGTCCCCCACCCCCAGACCGCCCGGACTGCGTGGAGGGCAGGGTCTGCTTTGTCTTCTACTCGCACCTGAAGAACGTCAAGGAGGTGTATGTGACCACCACCCTGGACCGGCAGGCTCAGGCCGTGAGGGGCCAGGTGGGCCGATGGGGTAGGGCCCTCCGGGCTGCCTGGGCAGAGGCCAGAGCACTGAACCCCTCTCATCCCGCCCGCAGGTGTCCTTCTACCGGGGAGCAGTGCCCGAGGAGGTGCCTGAGGAGGCTGAGGCCGCCCGGCGGAGAAAGGGCGCGGACGCTCTGTGGATGGCCACTCTGCCCATCAAGCTGCCGGTGTGGGCTGGCGGGGGCAGTGTGGTGAAGGGGGCAGGGGTGGTGCAGAGAGGCCCGGGAGTGGCCAGAGATACCGGGGTGGAGCTGGGGCAGAGGCCAGGGCTCACTGCACCCCTTCCCCCCAACAGAGACTGCGGGGGTCAGAGGGACCTGGGCAGGGGCCGGGGGCTAGCCTCTCCCTGGGACCTCTGAACCTGGGCGATGCTGAGACTGGCTTCCTGACCCAGAGCAACCTGCTGAATGTGGCCGGGCGTCTGGGCCCTGACTGGCCGGCTGTGGCCCTGCACCTGGGCCTGCCCTACCGTGAGCTGCAGCGAATTCGGCACGAGTTCCGGTGAGCTCCTTTGAGCCTCCCGGGCCCCGGGCCAGCCTCAGGCCTGGGTCCTGGCTGCCAGGGAGGCCTTGCTTGAGGCTGCCTGAAGTTCCACCCAGGGGCGGTGGGGCAGGGCAAACAGGCAGGAAAGGGGGGGTCCAGGGAGCAGGGAACCCCCCCTGGGAGGGTGGGCAGGACCTTGGGTGTGGTGGGTGGTCCTGCACTGGGCCCCTCCATCACCATTCCCCCTCCTCCCAGGGACGACCTGGATGGGCAGATCCGCCACATGCTCTTCTCCTGGGCTGAGCGCCAGGCTGGTCAGCCAGGGGCTGTGGGGCTCCTGGTACAGGCCCTGGAGCAGAGCGACCGGCAGGACGTGGCCGAAGAGGTTCGGGCTGTCTTGGAGCTCGGCCGCCGCAAGTACCAGGATGGCATCCGGCGCACAAGCCTGGCCGCTGGAGACCTTACCCCACCTGGCCCTTCGGCATCACAGACCCCAGAGCCTGCCCAGGCCTAGACCCCACTGACTTTGGGCTGCCCTCTGCCATGCCCTGGCCAGTGGTCAGAGGCCCCCACTTTCAAGGCTTCCCAGGCCAGCCCTGGTGGCCTAGTGGTTAAGTTGGGCGTGCTCTGCTTCAGTGACCTGGGGTTCAATTCCTGGGCACAGACCTATACCCCTCGTCTGTCAGTGGCCGTGCTGTGGAGGTGGCTCACATACAAAAAGAGAATTAGCAGCTGATGTTAGCTCAGGGCGAATCTTCCTCAGCAAAGAAAACAAAACAAACAAAACAGGCTTCCCTGTGTGTGGGGACAGTAACCCCAGTGTGTTAACAAACGTGCCCTGTTCTGGCCGCTGTCTCCGAGCTCAGTTTATTTGTTGGGTGGAGGGGTGGTTGGAAGGCAGGGGCAGCGCCTGCGGGGAGGGGCCCTGTATGCAGACTCCCCTACAGCCCTTGCTCCTTACCCCTCACCTCTCCCACCTCCTACATGCCCAGCGCCTCCTGTTGGTCCTGATTTTCCCCAGGAGGGAGAGGAGCTCTGCTACAAAGTAGCCGCTGCAGCTGCCCCAGCACCTATGGATACAAAGTCACCTGTATGCGGGATTGTGCATCCGCCCTGTTGGCGGCGGGCGCTTGGCCCACTTAGTCCCCTCCAAGCACCTACCGTGTCGCCGGACCGCTTCTCCCCTCGCTGCAGCGCTCCCTGCCACCTGCTGGCCCGATGGCCCTAATCCCTGGGTCCCAGCCCCATGCAGGGGCGCGAGGCCCAGAGACCAAGGAAAGACCTTGGGGACCTGCGGCCCGGGATGCGGCCGGGCGCAGTGGCCTCGGCGGCCGGGAGGGGGAGCCGG